AAATCAATTATTTTACGGGTTGTCTTGATAGCACTGTACTGGCGCCGCAACACAACGATGGGTCGACAATTGAAGTTTGGGCTGGAAAATAATGACGGCTTTGAAAACAAGACTTACAGATACGATACTAACTCGGAACAAGTGACTGAAACAAGAGATGGGTTAAGTTTACGAACAATGAGTGAATCCAGTAGTTAAAGTGCTTATTTTGTTTTTATTTTGTCTGTATGCATATTGTATCACTTAAGTTGATATGAATTAGTGTTAATACTCATTTATAGCCAATTATAGGTTGGGCTATTCTGTTGCATTTGATGTATTTTTGGTCTTAGGAATGTTGAGTTGTTTTGTTAAGCGTTTCATTTTTTACAAAAAATGTACAATGCAATATTTATGCTGAATATTTCTTGAAATAAATAGCTTTATTTTTTACAGGAGTTTATTTCTACAGGGAAAACATTTATTCTCAAGATATCTACAATAACTTATTTTGTATTGAAATTATTTGTCAAAAAGTGAAGTTTACATAGGAAACGGTTGAGAATCATAAATATATGTAAATGTGCAATATATAATGTGCAATGTTTTTTTGGGGTTTTTTTGTTTTGTTTTTTAAATATTATAAAATGCAATATTGTTTTTAAAAGTCGGTAGTGTATTTTACAATGCAGTTCTCTCATTGTTTCCCGTTTTTTAATACAAGTCATTTTATAGCAAAATATATCCCAGATTCAAATATATGTTAAACCACGGATTTATATTACAGTGTAATATAAATCCGTGGTTAAACACGTAAAATTGACATTTTCTAGTGCAGGATAATCTGCATTTTTACATCCTGTTTACACCCCTGGAAGACAGGTCGCGTGCTTTACATGACGTCATACCTGCGCGCCTTTTATGAATGAACTGCATTCTTAAAATGACATTTTTGCCGTTATCACGTTGTTAATGCATATGTTACTGTAAGAAAAAGATCTAAATGAAAATGTTAAGTTTTCATAATTTATTTTCGAAAAATAATAAACATGTAATATGCAAGAAAAATAATCAAACACCGGTTGTCGTCACACACATACAGGAATACATGTATCTAGCTTTAGGGTAACTATTTAGCGGAATATCAGCAGAGCCTTGTTACCGCCTCGAGCTAGATATTCCAGTGTGTACCGGTAGCCGGTGTTAGATCCTTATAATATACAATAAGATATTTGACACGAAAATGCAAATGAGCATATATAATAATGAATAAACTTACTGTTGACACTAGTTTAATAGCTATTTTTTATGAATATTGATGAAATAGAGGAATTGGTCTGTTTCAAAATAATGTTAAATTTATTCAAGAATTTTTTTTGTATTATGTATACGTTATAAATGTATAATGTACAGATTAAATAAAGATAAGTAAACAGTGTTGTATTATTTAGAATTTCATTTAAAATTTGACAGGAAAATGTAATTATATCCTGCTAAAAGGAAGTAATATGACTGTACTGTATTGTCGTCTGCCAGCATGACCTTATCAGTTGATCATTCCTAGGAATGGAAATCCGATTAACAAAATGTTGCACAGCAAGAGTTTTTTTTTTACAGATTCCTTACAATACACCAGCGCAGGGCTCTAGCTAGAGCAACATTTGTAAAAGACGGATGTTGTACTATCTACACATTAAAACTGCGCATCATAAGCCATGCACATAACGTATTTGAGAAATTATACGGCCATCGTGTTTGTTTAGCAGTATTATATATGGAGCTTACATTTAGTTGTAAGCTGTATGCCTCCATCTTTATATCATTTAAAACCTTGAAAACATTTCGACTGTTTCAAAGTTTCTGATAAATGACTGCTGAATTTTTTTTTATACAGCTCTACATGTATATCTGCTGCAAAAATCATTGTCTGAATTAAAAAAATAATACAAATGTACGTCTAAAATGCTTGTGTGAAATAAAAAAGGTAGTTAATGAAATTGCCTAAAAGTGAATGGCGCATGATCGGAATCATTCTCAACGGATAAAACCCTTCTCAAAATAGCAGAATCATATTTTGATTCTGTTTACTTAGATATACAATAATTATGTGTGTTAAATGACAGAGACATTCTATTTCTCTTTTCTTCGTTCTAGGCTTAATAAGTGTCCATCTGTCCTTTCAAGCACTGCGAGTACGGACCCCGGAAATGTCACCATTTATGTCCTTAAATGTTATTATTATATCTACTAAAAGGTGACCTATAAATTTTGAATTCAGTAATTCACTGAACGATACTAAATATGTATGCAAGTCGATTATTTCGTACTAAGATTTAGCTTTATACCCTTTAATATAAATAATCAAATACTGTCATTGACGAAATATCCGTCCGGATAGCAGTTTAATATTTGGAACTGAATCAAATATTGACCTAGCTTTGAGTAATAAATTGCAGTTAAGAAAAGCTGTCAGCGAATTTATGAGATTTTAATAATTTCCCACATGTTATTTAACTTCTAGAGGTCATGTCAGGCAGACGACAATGAAAATTGCTTTCCGACCGAAAGTAAAAGGGAAATAACCTCTAATGACATAATTGAATTACTAGGTCAGCAAATAACAATGAATTATATAAACACCTCGGTCATAATTGGATTTTTTTTTATTATGAATAGAATGAAATAGATTTTGTATTTACTCCAGTTAAAAGGTTTCCAAATTACATTCACTGAGTTCAAGTTAAATTCTTATTTACATGTACGTAAAGTGATCTGTGCACATGACCCTTGTGGCTGAACGGTTGCCTTTAATGGTTGAAGCGTAAGAACTGCAGCCACCGTTTTCATCCCTGCGTGATCGTAAGAGGCGACTTAATGGGTTCGAGTAATTGGAGTCTGTGCATCTTTTAGCTTCAGCAGATGTGATGGTTTTGACCCTTGGTGTTGCTTTGAAGTTTGTATTACTAGAGGTTAGCCAAAGTCATCTTTCCTGTTTCGGCGCCATATGACCTATACTGTGTTGATGCGCAGTAAAACCAACCAAACAAACGATATGTGCATAGAGGCTGCAGCTTACACTTCCAGAAGGCCATATCCACCAATCACTTTAAATAGTAATTTATTATTACTGTAAACAGTATGGGATTTAAATCTTGAAAATACACATATGATTTATCAATATGTTTATTAATTGAATCACTCATCCAGACTTTTTTCATTATGTTTTGTTATTGAAAGTATTTTAGATGACAAATTGTAAGCTCCAATTGCCGTAAGAGAACAATATATTTTTTTGAAAATGTTGCATTATTTATAAAGCATATAAATTACATGCGATAATTATTCAAACTTTATTTCCAGTAATAATGTATAATTCAAAACCAGGCATGGTTTATATACATTGCATGCTTAATCACAGATCGATTTAAACTCAATACTACAGTTGTGAGAGAACTTCATTATGCATTAGAGAACAGTTTACTTTTTTACTAAAGAACTCATTAACTAAACTTTATTGAGATCTTATAACTTTGGAATGATAAGGTATAAATTATGTTTTTTTGCGGGGCGAGACGAAAGCTTCATCGAATGTTCAGAAATATTTGAAACTACCGTGCCGCCTTGACCCTAGATCCAGTGGCGTAATCAGCTCGATATCCACAAGTCATCTTAAATCATAACACAATAATTGAGCCGCGTCATGACAAAACCAACATAATGGGTTTGCGACCAGCTTCCGCGCAGTCTGATCAGGATCCATGCTGTTCGCTATCAGTTTCTTTACTTGTTATAGGGTCTGTAAGCGAACAGTATGGATCCTGATTAGACTGCGCGGATGCGCAGGCTTGTCTGGATCCATGCTGGTCGCAAACGCATTATGTTGGTTTTGTCGTGACGCGGCTCATATCATTTATCATGCAATATGTTTGTTTTGTCAAGGACAAAATCCTAAATTTCGTTGGATTTTAAATCACAAAACAAAACATCATATGTCCTAGACAGAACAAACATTGCATGATAAATAATTGTGTTATGATTTAAGATGGCTTATAGGCCCATTGGGTCGGGTGTGGTTGTGTTATTTATAATCTATAAATAACCATAATTTGTATGTACACATACGTCACGATTAAAATACAGATTTCTGATCTGATCTGATCTACTTGTACGCCACACGGCGAATGATATTGTCGTCCAAAGTATCAAGGATAGAATCGGTCATTTTTCTTTTGCAAGAAAATAATGCGGTATTTTCTTTAATGATTCTGCCAAAGACTTTTATTACAAATAATATAAAGCTCCACGACAGAAAAAAATGAAAAAGCAAAATAATCATTTATCTCAAATTAAAACCGAAAACAGTTTATTCATTTACATATTCTTTAATCAAACACAACTTATTTGTTTAAGTTCAATGGTCTTCTAATGCTTAAGTCAAATAAAATAAATATATGTTCTTTTCTGTCCTACTTTCCGATAAGATCTACATGTAAGAACAATGTAATTAAAACAATAAACTTCTCGTTCGTGTCCTAAGACTGCATGCAGGCTTTAATAGCAGAAAAGACAGTAAATTTAATTAAGGAAGAAGAAAAAAAGTTTTATTGATATTGGTTCTTTATAATAAATCTTTCACCGCCTCATTGAATGAAGTAGTTAAATAACAAATAAATTACAACATGATAGTTGAAATTTAAATACAGCAATTGATTGTGCCGGCCGCATTGTTTACATTATTTCGATCGTAAACTTCTGTTCAATATTGATAAATTATTATGTACCCTAAAACTATTTTTGTATTCGGTGGCATTTAAACCAAATTGTAAATAATGTACAAGACTGTAGGCTAGTTGACAATTTGGTAGCATTACAAAAATTTAATTATTGAAGACTTCTTTGTTTATTTTGCTCATAATGGGAATTTGTGCCAATATTTTCAGCATTTTCATTGTGAATGTCATTGTTTCTACGTTGAAAAAAGTTTAAACAGATAATGAAATACAAAACCTCAGGAGACTATAGGAGTCGCCAATAAATCGGAATTGTTCCATACAGGTATTATTGTACTTGTATTGTTATTTCTCAAAGATTGATTGGCGATATAAAGGACTTTAATTGTGTGTTACGAGAGTGTATATAATTATACCATACTTTAAATTGTCGCTCAAGCGGGTTTTTAAAAAAATTAAATTATGCAAGACAAGCGAAAATTGTTAAACGGCTGAAATAAGTTAAGTTTTTCTTCTTCTCCCTGCTGCGGACATTTTGTGGATAACGGAAGATAAATCGAAAAGGTAACTAGTATATTTTCGTCTATATTTTTAATTATATTCTTATTTATATATGTATGAATGTTTTATGTTTTAAGCGTATCTAAACAAGACGCATATTTGTGAATTATTGAGAATACTAAACGGGATTTTAGAATGCAGGATACGTTTACGTTCAGTGTTGTCCTCGTCAGTTCATGTGACTGGTTATATAGTTATTTATTATCACAAAGTATTTGTCTTTATTAGTTGTATTGTAAATATGCAAATTGGGATTAATAGTGAAGTCCCTATGTACTAAAATTTTCGTTTTTCCCCGACCGAAGTGTTCCATAAATGGAAAACATATAAAATATGATTTAATACTTAATTAAGGTCCAATGAAAGTATAAAGACAATTCAAAAGATAAACGGAAAATTGGTCTGCTTAATGGTTAACACCTTTAAATTTGAAATACCTTTTTTTTAAAACATTTTATGTAAGTGAATATTTTTTGTAATATAACCGGAAGAAACGTTAACACTGTTAAGATTGGACTATATGATATGATTATGGAATGTGATTTAATTTGAATATTGTGTATGGTGATATATTTTGTACAATTTTGAAATATAGTTTTCTGCTCTGTTCTGTTCTGTTCTGTTCTACTCGGTTCTGTAATACGAGAACGTATAAAAAATTCAATTTGACATTTGCTAAACAAACATAATAATGAATTGGATCTTGATTCTGGCATTAACATAAAAGATTCAATACGATTAAACAGTTTTATCAGGATTATTATAAAGGAAAGTATATGTTTAATGCGGTAAAATCCCTCTTGCTTGACCTCACGTCTTCACCGTTAATTGAAATTCTACAATAAGTGCAATAATTAATCGAATGAACACCTCTTCGTTATATTAAATTATTGATGAGTTTTTTCGTCTACTGTAATAGGTGTTATAATATATTGTAATGGGAGGGGTATTAAAGCTACAGGTTAAGATTAATGCCGCTGTCATTGGGTAGAGAACACATATCTAATTTACCGGAATTATTAGAGGTATTTAATTCAAAATATTGCCTATATTGTTTCAAATTTTGACTATTCTAACTTTGATTTTATCTACATTTATTGATAAACTTGTCGCATATGGTTGATATATACAGAGATAATAAATTATTCTTGGATAGTTTTCTATGCAATAAATATGTAAATTCCATTATGTATGTTTTAAAGTTTGGATTATGACTGATATACATGTATGTAGTGTTTTACTTTTTGATCAAACGTACATAATAAGCATTTGGATCTTCTACGTATACATGTAGAACAATATAGAGTGACTACTACATCCTAAGTTTTTTTTTAATTGTAAAAGCCTTGATCCATATTTTCTCATTACCCCATCAAATCTCATTTTCCTTTATTGTGTTTTTCTATATTTTCTCGATTTGAATTTCCAAGATCATATTTATTATTTTCATTTGCCCTTCTATGATAATTGATATACTCTCTAAAAACTTAAATTGAATCATTTTTTCTACTATGTATGGTAGTTTTTAATAATATGTTGTAACTGTTTTTTAAGCTATCTATCCAAATAGCGCAATTAACTTTTTTTAAATGCTTTTTTACGCTTATTGCGTGCCACACGAACCTTTTAACAACCATATAACGTAACAAAAAGATAAAAAGAATACTATTGGTTATTTGATTTTCCATTGTAATAAAAATGAATGAAATTCTATTGCAAATTTAATTTAGATCAAAAGCAAATATTTGTTTATTTATTATTACACTGATATTTTTGTTGAATTTGGAGTCACATCGTTATTGTTAAGGCCAGCTTGACGCATTATTTCAGGTCACTTTTTATAAGGCAACTCGAAAGCTTCCCTACATGACAAATTACTATGATCATAGTTTAATTCGAATAAGGAGTTTAATAAGCCTCTTACAATATTGTATTCGTACATATTTATATTAACTATATATACAAGCGGAATATCCTCTTAACTTTTATCATATACTCCAATCAGTATACTCTAATTGCCTGCTTAACTTTAAAGGGACTCCCTCGAGTTTTTTTTTACTTGATGGGACTGGATTATTTTCACGATTGTTATGTACCATTTGATGTAAGTTTATAACGATAGCTTATGAGCAAATTTTTAGATTATTTCCTCACCCCGTTTTTCAAGAATAATAATTTTTATTATGTAAAATGTCCCAAAGATGAAAAGCGTGAAGTTAGGTCAACAATAGCATAAAAATCGTAGTTCGATTTTATTCTGAGTATATTTCAACACCAACCTTTGCAGATTTTTTCATTTGAAGTTTTTCACATGATCCCTGTAAGATTTTCAAATTTTATATTTTTAGGCTTTTTGACCTCAGTGGAGTTCCTTTAACTGCTTAACATGATCTTACCCTTTCTTAAAATCAGCACGAACTGAAAATATCAAGAATACATATTAAAGCGAAGATCAGATTAAAAGATCGCTATAATATTTGTATTTATGATTTTTTAAACAGAAATGGCTATAACCGTTTACTTATCCGATTTAGATATCATTTTAAGTTTTAAAACTGGATATAAAAATAATTTTATTATTTCATGAGAACAGCTGATAAGCTTTTTACCCTAGTTTAACTTCATAAATCTACATAAACATTTAATATATCAAGGCACCGCCGGTAGGGGATCTATCGCAATGTAGCAATCCTATGTTAATACGCTATCTTTAAGTTTATTTAAATTGGAATTAAATAGTCTCAGGTTGAACAGATAAACTAGGCCTAGTTATAAAGCTCTTCTGTTATTTTAATCCTTTGTGGCCACAATCAATAAATTGTATTGTTTTAATTAAATAGGGCAAAAATTGATTAAAACGTCGACCACAAAGGATTGTTTTAGTTCATTCAGTGTCTCTTTAAAGTAATGATATGTTTTATATCATTAATATTCTTGCAAGCTTAAGGTGACTAAGGTCACAAAAGTCATATGAGATTTATTATAGGTGTAGATCGTTCTTACACTGGCTATAAAAGTTATATCATGCAAAATTTGATAAATTGTCAACAAGGGCGAATCAAGCGCTTAAGCTGAACCAAAGAGAACAAATAATAAACGGCAATATTATGTATTTCTGGCTTCGAGTACCAGTTGTAAGTTTGAATCCCACTTTGTATGTTAAATACATGCGAAGCTTGCAAATGGAAAACAAAAAACCAAAAAAACCAAAAACATCTGCCAACTGTAATGATGGAATGTTTTCTTATAGTAGTACTTGTGGAACTCAAATCCTTACAATAATTAAATAAATAATGTCAATCAATAAATTGATATAACTGATAGATAAGGTCATTCATTAAGGAATAGATGCGGCAATTTAACAGTTTTTCTCACTAGCGACATGTTTTCGTATCATTTAAGTTTTATTCGCCGCTGTTGGTTTTTGTAAGGAAGAGATGTGAAATCTTCCGAGAAACATAATTTGATCGTGTAAGGTAAATGTATGTACACGTATGGTACATAATAACCATGTAACCTTCTAATACGCTAATAGATATAGTACACGAGAAAGAATAAAAAGTGATTATCATGACAGTCGAGCTTGCAGAAGAAATTTGGTCACGAAGTTGGCTATGCAGAGATAGTTCTCTTTCTTGTCTCAACACCATCATTTCATGCTTTCAGTAACTGGAAATAAGCACATCCCGGAAATTAAAAAATGGTTGTGATTGAAAGCATTTTCATGAGATGCTAAGAAATAGCAATACCAATTTAGTAACCATAACCAGTTTAGTTTATTCTTAACCAAATTATTGAAGCATACGCAAATGTGTGTGTTTTTTTACAAAAATTAAAGTATTTATAAGTAATGTGTTGGAGCGTTTACACAACATTTACTGATGGATATTTTTTGTAAATGTTCACGATTTCGTAACCTAAAATGACATGATGTAGCCAAAGTGTAACCGCCACGTGCCCGGATGATAGCCTCACCCTTTCTCCTCGTACTACCAGTAAGGCGTCTAGCTATTGCGATTTTGAGGTAAATTTTGACATTCTTGGTGCAGAGCTTGTTCCAGGTTGACTACAGGTGGTTCATACCATTGCCCAAATAAAATTGAAAATTTCAGCTGTGGTCATGTCAAAATTGAGGCCAAATGCCGGGTGTGTTAAATTAATTTCCAGTTTTGCGTTGTATATCATACTAATAAGTGATCTGTTATAATTGTACAACTATGTACAAGATGTAACACATGCATATTTTAAGACCATTTTTTAGACCATCACACTCTAAAATGCTGGTTAGAAATAAGTTTTTTTTTTATTTTCTTAAATGTCTAGTCGGGAACTTATGGAACTGTAAACGGTTATAATAAAATCTGATCGCTAATCCTTGAACTGAAAACAATCACATTTAAGGCCAATGACCGTTAAATTTTGCAAACTTGCAATATTGTAAATCAAGATCAGAGAATAAAAGAAAACTATAACTCGTAAAAACATTATAATAGTATAAAAGAAATATTTAAGTATAGCACACTTATATGTCGCCAGTCAAATATCAACAACCCTTGTATGATCAATTTAAATTAAGTATCGATTACTTTTTATTAACATTAATGATTACTTATTTTATAATCATTGAACGCAGAATGAAAACCATAGTCGCTTAAAAGCCGTACTGTAGTGCCCATCCTAAAAACGCACTGAAGACTCCGTGAGTCCCACAAGACACCGTAAAAACTCAGTATAAGCTCAATAAATGATATGGGACGACCACCTGAAAATACTAATTGGTAAACAAAAATGCATCGGGGTTCTTAGAACGACTACAGCGTTTTCCGAAAAATATCCGTCTTGGTGGCCGATATTTAACGCCATGTTAGCGTTACGGGGGTATGATGAAGCAAAAACTGTTATAGTTGAAGATATACTTCTTTAGTTATTCCTTTGATATTGTCCGCTTTTGGCTCACTACCTTAAAATGCACAATAGGGGTACTTTATACATTTTGTATTGTTTGACAAATTGGCAGATTTTCATATTGAAACAAAATAACACCTTCATGACTATTTACATATGCTTGTTGTCGTGTTTAGGTAAAATAAAAACTAATAGTAAAACTTTACGATGACAGTTTACGATTGCATGTCCGCTTTAAACTAGTAAAGATGATAAATTCAGTAAAAGTATGAATTATTAAATACTTTGCACAACTAACTACTAATAATACATGTGTATAGCATTACATTAGAACCAAATATAATGTCGGATAGACTTTTTTACAGATGTTCATTACTAACCGTGTCTATCTCCTTCCCCGACCAAATTTGTATGATTAATTTTGATAGTTTGAGGGAATTCAGAATCAAAATACGAAACTTACAGCGTCCAACCAGAGCTTGGTCGGTGAACATCACTATTAACGTTTAATATACATGTATTGATAGGTTATGTACCTGGTCTGTTAGCTGTTTGATGTATCTCATAGTGAATCGATTAAAAAATTTGCAATATATAATACTTAAGTTTAAATACAAAGGCACATTTATAAACAAAAGTGTTTTTTTTCCAAGTTATATTAAAGCACCTACTGATTAATAATTCATGTTTAGGTAATAAAACCTGCTGGTCAACATATACAAACTGCTGATGAAAAGAAAACTAGTTGACCTTATAAGAGAGTTTGAAGACACTGTTTGCCAATATGATTATACCGGATATAGATACATGTTTAGTTTCTTACATCACGCACAGAAACAAATATTTGCAGAAATAAATGTAAACACTCCATTTCAAAATTTGAAATAGTTTCAAGATGCGAGAGAAAATTTAATTTGGTTCGGATTCACTTTCAGATTGAAAAAGTTATGTTTATTCAATAGAAAATGTGATTAAATATTATTTCAGGAAGGGGTATAAAGTAGAAGGACCTAAGATGATGAACGCATACAATATGGACGCTTCTAGTCCGCCAATTCTGTTCCATGGTTCCTCAAGACGCAAGGAAAAGGAATTCTGGGAAACAATTAAAAGTCACCTGATATACAAAGGTTTGGTTTTTTTTAATGTATAAATCATTAACACATTAAACCAATTTCTTTTTGTTTTTCATAGTACCAAACTGAATTAAGATACAAGGCAGTTTATGTGGAAGCAGATACTTAATATTAAAGTCTTCAGATTGTATAACAATTTCATTAACAACGTACCTTGTAACTCTCGAATCAGACAAAATAATATCGGGCAAAAAATGGCCATAGACAATAACTGGAGAAAGTATGCTGCGTATATGATTCAAACTAGAAATTCGTAGCTCCTTGATTCATTGACCTTAAAATGAACAAGGATGCGCGACATTCCCCAACAATCAATATGTCATTCTCTATCTTTGACATGAAAGCAGACACTTATTTAGTTACAATTATTAATATATCCAGGCACTGATGTTGGAGATTTAAAAGCATCATTTCTTGTTGCCATCATACTATTGTTGTGATACATAACACGTGTTTATGCTTAAAATAAATGATATCATATACCGTAGGTTTTTATGACAAATTTCCGACTCCAAGACTTTTACGTGAAGCACAAGAAGAGTACAGAAGCATTCACCTGGAACCGCCCCTAGATGCCACAGGCAAACCACTCCCATATCCGGCACTTACAAATAAAGCCGAAATCATAAACCGAGATGCCATTGAAACTGTAGACTGTCATGCATTAGGGGTATGTTTTTAATTACGTAGTTACTTTTACTTTAACTTTTACATTTTATTTAAAGTAAAAACAGTTGACATACTTTTGCTTACAATACTGAATTTGGACAAGATGGGCATGAATGAAGGGTATCAAACATATAATTGTATAAATACTGTACAAATTTTATTGTACCTAGTATCAAATAAAAAAAAAGATTAAGGATATGCATATAGCTCTCCTTAAAATTGGAATATACAAACTGGTAAATGTCATTTGCACTTGTGCTGATTTGTCAACCTTTTATGTATCTTTAAACTGTAAGCCCTTAAGCTTTTGAGTCTATTCTTTCTTCAATGTATGCTCTTCTAAGCGTATATATGATTAATATAAAATATTTTTCGAAAACTTTTTTTGGGAGGTTAAATTAAATTTTGTTAGAAACTTTTATACATATTTTAAATTTGGGTATTATATTTTGACAGGCACCAAGAGTCTTGGCGTATGAAGACATGTACAAACTTGTTAAATACCTGACAGGTGAATGTAACAACGATGTAGAGAGACTTCGTGCTATTTTCCGCTGGATAGCTTCACAAAATCTTAAACAGTGGCATGACGAGGTGTCCTTTAACAGGTATAACTTAATTTTGTCAAAGTTTACTGTTGAAAGTCATTTATGTATTGATAACATACAATTGAGACAATACATACCCGGTATTATACCCCATAATTTATTGGTATGTTATATAATAGGTTCAAATACCCGATCAAAATGTGTTTATACTTATTTTCGGTTAAACCTAATTGGTAACAGTATATGTCGGTTATGTTTCAGTAGACAATTCCGTTACGTTTATTCAAGGAATATTTGTCAGTCATAACTAACAACTTATCAACATACTTTGTACTTTGTTATAACTTAATTTCTACTCCTTCGGGATTATAGATTCCAGCGCTTTTAAGTGTTGAAAATTGAGTACCACTCAAGCCGGTGCTAGGGTGCGTGAGGGATGTTGCACTTTTTCATTATCTCTCATGTACAGACTCAATCAAACCGAGTCTGCAATTTTCATGCTTTCGAGGGATCACACTTTACCCATCTTTTTTTGGCATAGATTTTATAACGGCTACTGAATTGTCAAATAATGAAACTTATTTTGGTTGATAATATGTAACCGTTATAAAACCATGCATAACTATTTTCAGGGATTCGGCAGCGTATTACCTTGCAAGAATAAGGGCAAAGAAGGCCAACCATAACCAGCTGCTACAACGCATGTGCAGGTAATAATAATAGTAGATCGATGCAAATTCTCCCTTGAAGTAGTGAATAAAATGTAAACCAAGATCTTAATAACTTACTATTATACTAAATTTCTTTTTTCTTTATAAATAAATATTGTGAAATGATATTCTTTTTAGAATAAAAGACATCAACTTTTGACTGCTTACGGACATTTATATATAAATTTTATCTTATCTATCACCAGTTTGGCGAATATTTACTGTGTGAAGATACGCGGTTATGTGAAAGGTGTTGACTATGGGCTAGGCCACGAGCTAACTGAGTGTGATTCCACGTGGACAGCTGTGCTTGTAGACGGATCTTGGCGCCTTCTCGATGTATACTGGGCCACGTGTCATCGCGTGCACTCCGGAGATAGTTCATGGGAGCTGATAGATGATGGTCAAAGTGATATCTCATCATTAGCTTCGACACCACGTGGAACTCCAAAAATATCGAAGACAGAATACGCCTATAATGACTACTATTTCTTAACAGGTTGTTCTTTATATCATTATAATCAGTTCTCATAATAGCTTCATTTTCCTTTAAACCCTTTCCCACAAAACCCGGGGTTTGGTTTACCCCTAATCAACGTAAAATTTTGGTTCTGTAACGACGATTTTTTGTTTTAAGTAAATTAATAAATCAATTCGATCAGTTGTTCATGAATCTACCGTACTATAATTCCAGATCCAGAACAGTTTATCTACTCTCACTTCCCCATCGATGAGAAGTGGCAACTTCTGGCAAGGCCAGTCACCCTCGAAGAAGCCAAGCGGATGGCACTGTTAAAGAGGAACTTTTTCAGCATAGGAATGGATATAATTTCACATCCACGTTACGTTATTGAATGCGATAACGGTGAAGTACAGGTTACATTTGCAACTACAAGCGACGTCAAGACGAATTTCAAGTACGAACTTTATGTTGAGTCGGACGGAGGAAGTCTTGAGGAATTACACAACCTAAGTTTGGACAGATACGTATTCTTGGAGAAGGTTACAAAGGAAGGCCTTCTAAACGTTAAAATGCGATTTCCTGCGATTGGAAAATACAAGCTCAAGATTCTTGCCAAGGAATATGACGAGCGATCATTCTATTACACCGTGACGTACATCATTGACGTCTTAAGTCCAATGGATAACTGTCGACCTTTACCTAAAAATGAAAGAGGAGAATGGGGTCCTGGTTTGGAAACAGAAGAACTTGGTCTTGAACCAATCACGCACGATTCTGGAGAGGTCCCGACCGATGATGGAAAGGCTGAAGTAAGATTTGGAATGTCTAAAGCTGTAGAATTTAAACACAAACTTGTTACAGGAGACGATCAAGAACTTGCACACAGAGTTATACATCGAGTGGAGAATTCCGAAGCTGTTTTTAACATTAGAGTTCCTGATGAAGGCGAATATGCCTTTAACGTGTATGCCCGAGAAGAAGGGGAGAAAGGTGAATACCCAAATGTGTGTAATTATCTGTTGAAATGTGATGAGGAACCCGAAGATAAACACGCCTTTCCTGACGTAGGTTCGGACAAACTTGGACCAACCCCTGCCTTTGCAGATTTTGGTATGAAAAATATTTCTATCATGCCTGCCCTGATGTTAGCACCAGTTACTGGGGAAGTCACTTTACAGTTCAAACTGTCTCACGAAGCAGTCTTTATACCGGAACTATTGTTACACAACGATGATGGGTCCAAGTCGGATTTCTCAGAATACACCATGTGGGATATTTTAGCCGGTGTTGCAACTTTTTACATCACCCTTCCTAGAGTGGGAATGTATAGCCTTGCAATAAGGGCTAAGCCATCTGTCGATGCAGAGCATTTTACTCCAGTTTTCCATTCAATTGTAGATGCCATCATTCCAAAGAAACAATGCCTGCCTTGTCCACAACAGTCTATTGATTGGCCTGCTGAGTGCCACGTGCTGAAACCACTTACTGGCGTTCTTGCAGCGCGAGAAATGATTCATTTTGAAATTGATTTTCCAAAAGCATACGAGCTAATTGCAACAAGTGGTAATGGCTCGAAGCTCCTGAAAAGGAACTCGACTGGCCTATGGGAAGGAGAGGTATTGGCAGGAAACGAGGACTCTGTGGTAACAATATCAGTACGATATAGTGAAAGAGACGAATATCACTATATCCTAACATACAAGGTAAATCACTTAACTCTTTACAAGTTAAATTGTATCTTAATCTATAAGGTAAATCACTGTTCATACATTAATATACTTAGTAAACTGAAAATAAGTGTTGAATTTGGTGAATAGGACATAAAATCTCGTTGCAACTGAATGAATAAATGTATCTGAAGTTACAATTGAATTCATTTTTTTCTTTTAATGAATACGAAGTGTGCCATAATATGATACTACTGCTGTTTTCATATTTTTCTTATTTAGCACTCTAACGAGTTAATAAACTAATCATCCATCCAAGTCATAAGGATTATATATGATATCCTGACAAGATTGTGTATTTTTTTCAGGTCATAGATAGAGATGAGATTGTAGGTGAGCGACTTCGTCAGTTAGATCGTTACAAAGACGCCGTGGCGAGGGCTGAAGCAATGCGAGAAGCTGGCAAGTTGCCAATGAACTTTGACTGGTCTAAACTGGAGGATATGAACGATGATGAACTGGAGGAGTTGGTAAGCTGACGTATTTGCTTCTTTGTAAATGTATAATATATTTTACCTTTGTATGTCTCGTCTAAACATCCCCTCTCATCCTCAATTCATTATAAACATCATGCTGAATACTACGCCTGCTTTTTTCTCGCCTTCCTTTTTTCTTGAGATGTTTCTTTTTCACCTTGTTTCATTTTAATGTTTAATTTCACTTCCTTTTTTTGCAATCCTGATCTCACTACAGAGTTTAAATTTAATGTATGTGCTAATTAATTGTAACTTTCTTAACCATGATAACGTGGAATAAGTTAAATGTAAGAAACGAGTCCTAATTCGTAATTATATATTAATTATTGTATTATCACTTAACTTTTGTTCTATTTTGTTAATTTTTAAACTTCTGTGTTAAAAAATTACAATAATTTGTGTAATATATGTCTTCTCTAAGATTGAATTGTTAAAAGGTATTTAACACGCTGCTAAATTCTTTTATTTAACACGCTGCTTGTCGTCGCTAAACTTTCCCGCGTCTGATCAAAATCATGGCTTCTGGCTGCATACAGAAATCATGCAAGTCATTTTATCGTGCAAAACTGTTTCTCTATTTACATAGCTCGGTGTTTGGGTGAGTATACTATATACTTCTTTCAGTTTGCATCACATTCTTTCCTTGTTTTGTGATATGGTATAAATTATAATTTTACTATCCATCTGACAGCATTTTTCATTTTTCATACCAGAAAACTCCGTAGTTTCGAAATAGAAAGTTTGATAACATTGTAGATTGTTGAAATATTTATTAAAATATTCTTTCATACTTAAAGACATATAAAATGTTGGTATACAATATATTGATAGGTTAATATCGAGGGTTCAAAAGTAAAAGGTGCCAACTTCAATTTTTGTCAAAAATGACATTTTGGTTTTATTTACAAGTATTTGATGCAGTCTTTCATTTGGAAAAAAAACTACTACTAGTTATGTCCATATAAGGGCAAAAATGACAGAAAGTTATTTGGTTGCCATCTAGTTTCAGATCTAATTTGTACAGGTAAAAGGGTGCCAAGTTCAGTTGGTGTCATCAAAATAACAATTCTTTGCGGTAAAAAGTGCCATCTTTACTAGGACCCTTTTACAATAATACTTTTGTGCCAACATTTAATAGTTTTATATAACAGGAAAAGGTGCCAACTTTCCTTGGAACATTTTACCGCTAATGTTTACAACTAAACCAGCAATACATACTTATTAAATCATTGTGGAAATCTAATGTCAGAAAGACTGCTAGATCAAAAGGACTTGAATACATTAACAAACATGGAAAAGCGGTCAAAGAGAGATCAGTCAAAAAAGTAGATTGTTCAAAATGTAGGTTTCAAATGTACAGAGAACATTTCTAAAGAAGAAAGAAAGGATATCTTTTCAAACATACTGGGCAGTTGGCGATTTATAACAAACAGAGACAGTTCATTTGCAGCAATGTTGAAAACAAAGCTCCTTGAAAAAAGTTCTACAAGTAGAAGAATAAAGAAAACTGTCTCAAAATTCTTACTTCCTCTCCTCCACTGAAAAGAAAGTGCGGGTGTGCAGAAATTTCTTTATGAAAACGCTTGATATAGGGAAAAAGACAGTCGAATGCGCAATTAAACAAAAAGAATGTTGGGGGTGTTTGTTGGGACTGACAAAAGAGGAAAAGGATCACCTGCTAATAAGACATCAGTGCATTTGAGAAAGAGCACATCGAAAGTTTTCCAACGGTAGATTCTCACTATACCAGAAAAGACACAACCAGAAAGTATTTGCCACCTGATCTAAGCATACGAAGAATGTATTCATTAAATGCTGACAAATGCAAAGAAATGGTCAAAACTTTGTGTTACAGAAGCAGTTTTACAGAAGTATATTCTGTAGGGAGTACCAACTTGTCATTCTTCCATCCCAAAAAAAGACCAGTGTCAGGTGTGTAACAATTTATGACAATTTGAAAAGTGAGGGAACTTTTGAACATGGAAACTGAAAACAATTATCATGAACACCAAAACAGAAAGCAATTATCAAGGGTCGAAAAGGAAAATGACAAAAAGAAAGCCAAAACTGACCCTTGTTATAATTGTAACTGCATTCGATCTACAAGCTGTGTTAAACAACACCATGCAGTCTAATTGGGGAGCTCTATTACGAACGCAAACTTTGTTGCTACAATCTTTCCTTTTATGATCTTGGGAATAAGAACGGTACATGCTACATACGGGATGAAATGCAGGGCAAACGAGGCTCTAGTGAAGTCAGCACATGTCTTTTTCTACATTTGAATTCCATCGTTAGTAAGTTATCTGGTGTTGAAGAGGTTACACTGTACAGTGACACTTGTGGAGGACAAAAAAACCGAAACCAGTATGTTGCTAGCTGTTTGGTCCACTGCATTCAACATCTCAGTGATACTAATCTTAACATCATAAACCAAACATTTTTTAGAGAGTGGCCATTCTGAAATGGAATGTGATTCAATACATGCATCAATTGAACATGCAAAGAAGTTAACGAAAGTCTATGTTTTCTTCCCAATGGAAAACAGTAGTCAGATTAGCTAGACATAAGCAGCCATATGTAGACGTTCCATTGAAGTATTTTGATTTCATGGACTTCAAACAATTCAAAAAGAGAAAAACTTTGGGCCAATGAAGACTGATGTAAGTGGAGAAAAGGTGAACTGGTTAAAGATAAAGTGGATTCAAATTCGTAAAAATTGCCCAGATTGTATTTTTGTATGTCATGATTTTGATCATAGTCGTTTGAGGGAAATAAAGATCACTTCCAAAACAAGCAGAAGAAAACAGAAAGTACCATTAAGGCAACCTCCACAAGCATATAAAGAGAAACTACCAATATCTGCAGCGAAAAAGACAGAATTGCTTTCGCTAGTAGCTTCAGGGACAATTCCAAAGGAATATGAGGAGTATTATAAAGCATTGCCTTGTAGCAAAACTGTTAAAGATACGCTTCCCGTTCCATCGGTCAGTGAAAGTGATGACAGTGATAACTGATGAATTCTGACTGTTGACATTGTTTTGAGTTTAAACAAAAGGAAGCGAATTTGAAAATTTCCAGAAAAGAAACAGCAGTAACATTATGATTTGGTTGTAACAGAAGAGTGTATGTGTTATTTCAAAGTAACTGTTCATCAGGAGAATAACATATATTTAAAGTGTTGCAATATGCTGTTTTCATAATGTAAGCTAGAAATTACATGTACGTGTTTATACTAAGAAACCGTTAAGGAAATGGATTTCAGGCTTACACCTTAACATTTTTAAGCCATTAGTACTTTAAACAAAATGGTAATGCATTGGTTTTGAATTCCTTCATTTTTAATGTTAGAATATGACATCACAAGCAAAAACTTTAACTGCCTGCACCTTTTCAGTACTTCTAAGTTCTAAAATCATTGATGTGTGAATGGTTATTGCCATTATAGTTTTGTTGTTACATAAATTTCATTGAAGATGGCTTCTTATTTTGTACATAAAATTTTGTTGTACTAGTTACCCATGTTAGTATTTTCAAGTGGGAAAAGGAGCTAACTTCCTTTGACACCTTTTACCCCAGGAGATAGATCACGTTAGTGCACAAGAAAATATGGGTAAAAGGTGTCATCTGCAGTTGGCACCTTTTCCTTCTTCTGACAAGTACATTTTTAAGTTACTAAGTGTACTTGGCACCTTTTACCACTAGAGATTCCTTCATGTTAATCTTTTCGCATTTTTTATTTAAAAAAATAAGATGTTTCTCCGACTTCTATTGTGTTAAAACACTAGTTCCACATAAATGAGTGATATTTCTAGCAACAGAAAACAAAATCTGTTACAATTTATTTCAGAATAAAAAAATAATTTGAAAATTCACTTTTTGTGATTTTCTCGAAATAAGAAAAATGGCAGTTGGCACCTTTTACTTTTGAACCCTCGATATGAAGTTAGGTACATTCTTCACACCTATGGAAAGCTTATCTTATGTAGGACCTATATAAGTGTGATAACAATTACAAATATAATGTACTGTAAATTTTTATCATACTTATATATAGATACATGTAGATACATAGATATATATACATATCAACAAATATACAAATCAAATATATATAGTCTGAAGAATACTTAAAGTATGGCATTTGGAATTTAGCCAGTGATTTTATGCATGTGTTTTTTCCTTCTTTTATCGTATGCACTTGGTTCACTTGAAATGTATTTATATCTGGGTATTGGTACTTTGCTATTGTCATATATTTGTCATAATGGTTATGGATGATAAAGAATTACCTGCATAGTTTTACAATATATCACTTTTTGTATGTCTATTACACTCATGCATCCATACAATTGATGTCAAGTACAAACATGTATTTAAACAGGTGTACACTCGTGACACTGTCGCTTTTAAAAACTTTTTTTTTTCAGGAAATCATGTCATAAATTTAAGACATAACGCCATTTTAGTATTATCATAAATACAATAATTTGTACTTATAATGAAATCATGTTATTTTAATAATATGTAGATGAAGGTCTTTATATTCTGAAATACTAAAGATGGAATATTATTAAATTGACGTACCAGAAATCTATTATAATGTATTTCTTGGAATAATTTCAGGAGAACACGAAATGTACGCAAACTGTGTTAACATTGCTCACTGCCGATCTACAGCTTACCAGCCAATACTTGTATTACGGGGAGTGATACAGAAATCGGAAAACAAAGTATTCGGATAATAAAGTATTCGGATAAAGAATCTGTATTACTGTGCTTGTGTTAAAACTGTTACTAAATGATATTACTGCCATTAGAATCTATGTGATAAAGTTTTGTAACTGATATATGATGATATTATAGACGTGAACCTCTGTGATATGTATGCTTTCATAGATAACATTGTATGGACTCGGAGAAATTTCACAGTGTTGTGTAAAATGTAATAGTTTAAGTGTAGCTCTGTTTACTAGATTTATGTTTTTAGCAGGTGAATTCATTTTAATTGTATTAATGATGAATGTAGAAAATATTGTCAAGAAAATATTGACCAGTAGTTCCATTGGTCAGACAACATGTCCTTGTTATATTAAAAATACAAACACCTTTTTCTTTATTTCAACATTTAGTTTACGCATTTGACAATATGTACTTTGCCATATTATCATACATTGTAATTAGGTAAAGGTCTTAGAAAATTCATATTTATTTGATACCTGTATATGCTTTAACGTGTTTTTTCCAATGTGCCAAAGTCATTTATTTTAATTTGTGATCACAACTTTTCGTATGTATTTTCTTCAATAAAGTATAATCATTTGACACATATATTTGTTTTTTTTCATAATTTTTGTCAGCATCATGATGACTCATGTTGTTTTTAACATTGAATGAATATTATGTATCGATTCAAGGGAGCAAAAATGCAACCATAGTAAATAATCTGTTTTTAGATTCAAAAAGTCTTTATTTCAGAGAGACTACAATAATATATTTGCTGATCAATTGGCATGAACATTAACTGAAATAAAAAATAAAGTAACTATCAGTTTAGTATAGATTTGCGAATTCAAGTTGAAATATTAGCGAGCGCGGGAAACGCAACTGGTACCATACATTTATTTGTTTGCTATTTTCCTTTTCTAAACTTGAAAAAGTAAGGACTACAGCATCAATTGTAAAGGATACGTACAGCATTGATTGTAAACGTAAGTACTCGTATATTTCATTTCTTTATCAAAGTAATTTTCTGATATTGACTTGTTTTAGACACCTGCCAACTGGAATAAGAACGTTTGTCGACAGGTATTGTTTGGTTTTGTAACACAATTCATTTGTTTCATGAACATGTAAAGGGCTAAAAATATTGTATAAACCGACCAATTTCCACACTTGACTCACTTAAAATGTACCTTGTATAGACATATAAATGGCACAACTATATTTGATTCACGCTATCATGTAATATAATAACTGTTAAAATGATTATATTCATTATTCATCAAATAAACCCACACATACACCTGTAAACTATATCTAATGTTTTGAAAAAGTTCAACACATGTTTCAATACAATACGAATAATTCCACAGGAAGTTTGCAATTTAGAATGTTCACGATAACATGAAGATTATTTTAGTGGTAACAGATAACAACAGTGTAGATGGTGCAATGGTTTTCTAACAGGTAGATAGATAGATACACTAATACCAAGGCTTATAAAACGGAAAGGTAAAATATATTTAGCGTGTATAATATGAAATATATGAATGATTGAGTAAAATAAAGAAGTTCTGACTTATTAGTACATATATACTTCGAAAATGCAATAGTTCTAACTAACAATAAAGAACAAGAAGTCAATGTTGGTTGGAAATTTGAATCTTTAGTAGAGAATACATGTATATAGCCTTTTTTTGCAAAAGATAACTTTATTGTCTGAGTCGTTACGTTCATTTTTATTACTTTAAAGTATACAAAATGTATTTATATTTATTTAGACGTTGTAGTTTGATGAATTGTTCATTTTTATTCGATCAATAGTTATTCGCGGCAAGTAAAACATTTTTTGTTGTGTTATTTTGTAGATTAAAAGGCTTCTAGCCGCATATATGAGAGAAAATATGCCACACGAACCATCGGAAATAGAGGACAATGTGGCTGATTGTAGCGGTGACGAACTTGGTGAAACAGTTAGTAGCCAAGGTGAACCAGTTGATATGCCCGCTGATTGTAGCGGTGATGAACAAGTAGCAAGGGACAATGAAGACGAAATGGATTCTCCTCGGAAGCCCGAGCCCGAATGTGTTGCCAAGAAAGTACCAACATACAAAAATATAAAACCCGAACCAGATATTGTCATCCGAAAAGGACCTGAGTACACAAATATGAAACCGGGCCCGGTAAAAATTTCCCCCAAAGCATCCAGGTACTTTTAAAGTCTAGTTATCATACAATTATAGTGAGATTGTTTTTTTCTTTTTCCTCACTCACGTATTTGCTGATAATTTGGTAGTGAAACATGTAATCTCTTTGTTAGCATGGTATAATATCATTCAATGGAATAAAAAATTCTATTTCTGTCTATCAATACATAGTTGTGTATCATTTTTATAAATGCGCTTTTAGGCAGCAACGATTTTTTTCTTCATATTATTTGAGTCAAGTTCTATATCATTATAGTTCACGAATGACGATATTTAATTTAAGTGCATTTGTTTTAGTTTTTATATTCAGTATATACAGACAGTATGTGTACACAAAAACGATATCCATTTTCTTTAGATCAAATTATTATCAAAATGTAAATGTTTCATAGAAAAATTTATGAAAGAGTTTTCATTCTGCTTATATGTCTAAATGAAGACGCCAGCTAACGTCTTAACATATGTAGTTACAGTGACATCGATGATTCAGATGACGAGCTAAAGGAACTCGTTGAAAGGAAGAAACGTTTAGAAAGAGAGAAAGAATCCTTGAGTGATGCAAAACTACGTAGGCGAGCAGAAAGGGAGAGACTTAAAGCTAAATTGCAGACTGATGTGAACACATTAGAATCCGAGGTTGCCGAACTTTCCGGAAGATATAAAGGTAAGATTTACTATTCTTTTATGTGTAAATGTTCATAGGATGAAACATGGATATAAAAATGAGTAAATTTGGTATATTTCGACAAAAATCGGCAAATTATGGCGACTCGTTTACAATTACTTCTGATGATTTTTAATAAATAATAATTGAATTGAACTGTAAAGTGTTTTATTCTGAATTATTTATTATGGAACACATAAACCTGCAGTGTCCGTTTACAAGAGAACTTTTAAGTGATTCGTATTTAAACGCGGATCAAAATACGGTTCATGTATATTATTATAGATTCTACATATGGTATTGCAGAATGTTCGGAAATGTAGTGTTAAAAACACTCGACTTAAAATGAGTTTTTATTTCAACACAAGAAGCATATATACAATATCAATAAAAAAGATCAGATTTTTGGAAGGAAATTGATGGTTTACAGAAAATGATCAGCATTTTTAAATGGCTTATTTTATCGTTTTGAATAAATTTCAATATGAGGGACACTTTTGCCAGGAAAAATATTTAGACATAATACAGAACTTTTTCCTTTGCTAATTCCAGTTTTAAAGATTTAAACATTCTTCTGCAGCTTTAGATGTATCTATATTTGATAATAGACATTAGGACTTGCACTTGCCTTTTTTCCCTCACATTGATATATATTTATGCATTTATTTTCTTTACAGACCCAAGACGTTAGTATATACTTATTGATTCGATGAACCTCAGTACTTCAAACTGTCGATAAGTAAGGAATATGCGAATTATTACAAACAATGATTACGTCAGATATAAACAAAACAGACATACATTAAAGACTGTAACGCGATCTCAACAAAGACATTCGTGCTAACCAATGAGATTATTTGTCACTTCAATACCGTCAAATCTCTCCTCTATCATTACTTGAAAATTCTCTGCGCTCGATATAGGATGATTCTCCTTCACATGTGTTGCGGACAGGCTACCTTCACCGTACTTTGTGAACTTAAATTGTCTGATAAGGTTTGAAAACATCAAGAATATTTCAAGTCTTGCCATTGAATCTCCTAAACACATCCTAGGCCCTGTAAAACGACAAAGAAGAACGATAAAGTATCAATAAGGAAAGCAAGAGAAAGGATGTAAATATTGTACACGATAGATAATATATGTATAAGTCAAATATCATATCATAATTTTATTAATTCTATATATTTTTTTATTATATTTGTTAAGTTTGTGTTCCCTAATATATTCATCACACTGTTGAATGTGTAACTTGTAATAAAGATAATGCACTGCTTATTTTTTTATATTTTCTTTGAAAATACATACATGTAGTTATATTTTCCAAATATTATTCCAATGTTAATCAGCCTCTTATGTAATCAAGCTCAACTAGTATGTATATATATTGCATTTCTGTATGAAGCATAAATTAAACGACATGCAGTAAACAAGATATTGATGACATGTTATAAAGTGTGAAGAATGTTCTTAAAAAAGTTTAACAAATTCAACAATTATACCTATAGAGAATGGAATAAGCCTCTCGTTTCGTTTGAACTGACCATGTTCATCAAGATGTCGCTCTGGTTTAAAGTCGTTGACATTACTCCATGCATTACTGTCCATGGAACAGGAGTACAGGTTCCCGAACACAATGGTGTTCTTTGGTATGGCGTAACCTTGCAATGTAGCATCTTCTGATGCCATATGTGGTAATCCGAGAGGAACTATGAGACAATAAACAACATCAATATTTTAGTTTATCACCATAATATGTAAACATGGAATAGATATGAAAACACAAAAAAGTTTCATATTGATCTAATTCGAAAACTGTATGGTGCTTGGCGATTTATGAACAATTATTTTATGCGTTGATCAAATGTCAAAATGACTGGCATATACCAATTGCTATCGTTTTTTAATGATTTGTTTAACAAATTAACGGAAGGGACTTAAATATTGCAAAAGTAGTAAACAGTTTTGTATGACAAGAACTTAATGTAAAGATTCTACCTATTACTGCCTTTCTTTGTATCTCAGCTTTGTATAAAAAGAATTTTCAGTAAATAATCTACCTATGACTGCCAGTCTTTGTATCTCAGCTATGGTGGCTTCAATATATGGTAAATGATGTCTATGTGACCAATCTATCTGCTCCATTTCAGGCTGTATTTTTTGAAGCTGTAATGGAGTGAATTAAAGATTTTATTTCAAAGATTTCGTGCTATTGACATTGCAATTGATAACGTATATAAAAATGTTCATCAAGATAAGTATCACTTAATCTTCATGCGTATTTGAGAGTAGACATACCATTGTTTACAGAAACCGAAACATTTATCGCCTATTTTCTACTTCATCCTGGCCGCTTACTCTTGCAGGACAGAGCCTGATGCATCCTGCTATATTTAATGCGTCGAATTCATATGAATAAATTCATTAAGAATAGTTTAAATTTATATCTAAAAAATGGCATATTCTTTCAGTGAATATATAAGACTTGGTTTAATATAACGCTAGCAAACTAAAACAAATGCAGCAAGAGATAATAACACTATAGAGATTCAATATGACCTGCTTTTTGTCGTTGTGACTAGTTGTGAATTTGTGAATTCCGCGGACAGATTGCTTAGGTCATGAGGCTGGAACCACAAACAACACATATCAATATAGCGGATGTATAAATAACAAATGAAAATTGAAACTTTGTATCAACACTTTTACCTTTCTAATCTCTAGAAAACAGTTTTCTTGAATAGCTGGATACTTCACCATGAACATAAAGCACCAGTCTAGGGTACTAGCAGTTGTTTCAGACCCTGCTAGGAACAGATCCAGAATCATCCGGAATACTTCTCCTTCTGTGAATATATAATTGTAATTGATTTATTGACAAATCCTTGTTATAACAAGCTCAACATCAAAACGTAAAATAATTGGATTTAATCAAAGTATAATGCGATTTAAAAAATGAATGCTATATTGCTTCAGAGTATGAAAGCATGGTTATATTCTCAGTTGCACAGACAACTAGCTTTTTAAATCATTAAACATCTACTTTCTTTGTTATCACTTCTATGCGTCTTTATTCTGCGGAAAATAACGACATAACGAAATCCAGTGAATTAACAACAACAACCACAAATAATAATAATTAAAAAACACTTGAAACGTTTACAGAAAACATAATTCTAAGCACGATATTTTTAAATGTTTTTGTGACAATATATTTCAAGAACAGAGTATGTAACATTACTTGCAATAACATTTATATTTAAAGTAACATACATTTAACTGTAATTGCTTTCCAAAATGGTGTCAAATCAGCCAATCTCTTTATACATAAGAAAATCTAAAACTTTAAAATCCCACTCTTCTAGACAATTCTAGATATCTTAAAAGGACCAAACGCTATATTTAATAAAAGCTTACTAGAAATGTTGCTGTCCTCTTGTTTGGAAAAGTTAACGTAAAGGTCTACGAAGTCGCGTATGTTGTTGTTGTCAAAGTTACGTTCATGTTCTGATATTCTGTCATATATATACTTCTTTAAGTGGTTGATTGTCGTCTGCTTCTTATTATACACTGCCTCATTCTGCAAAAAATATTTTACCCAAGAAATCTTAAAAATTACTATCACACTAGTATTTAATAACAATTCAATACATATACACACAGTGAAACATCCATAGCAGAATTCTTAACATATTCGTTAAAGTGATATTATGCCCAACCAAGGGTATGTTGTAAGTTGAAATAAGCTTTCATTTTGCTATAATTCCTTTCATTTTAAAGGAACTCCACTAAGGTTTATAAGCCTAAAAAAATAAAATTTTAATTTTTCACATAGATAAACATGAGCACTTAAAACAGAAATATAAATAAGATATATAAGAAATATACAAGAAATATATTGAAAATCGTATGTTTGTGCTATTTTCAGTCCTATTTGAGTGAAAAGCGTTTAAACGCTTTTCAAGTGTGGGTCATTTTTCACTATTATAATAATTATTCTGGAAAAACGGAGCGAGCTAATGATCTGAAATTTTGCACATAAGTAAAAAAACTGTTATTGGTGTAGATCTACACCAAATGGAGTAATAATCTCAAAAAACTATTTCCAGTCCCTTCATGCCAAAAAACCTCTGTGGAGTCCCTTTAATAAAGCAAAGCAAGAAAAAGCTCCTTTGTAACGGATTGCATTGTATGTTTTGAAATACTGGTATATGTCGAGAAGAGAGGGGTCACATACCTCGGGCAGAAAATATCTTATAATCCCTGGTAGAAAATTCTTTGGAATGAATAGTCCGCCTTTAAAGAATTCGTCAATCAGTTGAATTAGCCTGCTTAGTTCATCGTCGTTCAAGTCTAACCTTTAAATAAAAAAATTCATTTTAAAGGCCCATTATGTCTCAGAAATCTATTCATTTTCATTTCTCAAAAGCTTTTAATTTCTGGTGTCATGTTATAGCTTCGAAAAAGTTATATATTGGCCAATTACCCGAGTCATCCTTTTTCTCCTGTTACGTTTTGGCAAGTAGTACATTTAAAGTGATTTAGAATTTTGTATTGAAGTGAAAATACTACTTTGTTTTACTTTACATTTTGCTACTTTTATGACAAATAATTCCACATTCAGCGCTACTTTCTTCACGTGTTTATTTAACATCTATTATGCTTTTAAACCGTACGTTACTTACTTTTTAAAGAAAATACATGTTGGCGCTTTCTTAAGAAGAAAAAGTATTCTTTTCTTAAGCATTATGTGCCTTTAAATTATTAATGACGTAATTTGAAAAGATTAATGTTAAAACATACAATGACATCGTAAGATTTCTTCAGTTTAAACAGCTTCATATCATTAAACAGGAATTAACAGGACTGACAATTGAAAGGATATAAAATCAGTAAAACACGCCATAGTTACTTTATGAATTTAGCCCCCTTAGAAATTATTATTGTTTAGAAGCGGTGAAAAATTATTCAATATTAAAATACCAAAGCTATCTTTACACGCCCTCAACTTTACTTACCTTTTACCAAATATAACATCATGTATGATGTTTGTTATTGCTTTTTTTAATGTTGGTTTCAACGTGAAAGGTTTTCCAATCTCTTCTTTAAAGACATGTGAAATATAACTCGTTTCTTGTAGCACTTTGTCTTGGAGACTTCTTCGACCTAGACCAAATTCTCGCAGTGCTTGGCGGGCGAATTTTCTGGCCGCGCCGGCGTGTATTGCCTCTTGCCATACCAGCCCTGTTGTAGATTGTCATTTGTTATAATTTTAGTATGAGGTAACCAATGGAAAGAAGCTGATTATGAAAAAAAAGTTAAATATTTTTCTTCTTTTTTTTCCGTTCATAGATTTTCAAATATATGTATTACAGTAATACTAATGCATTTAGTTTCTTCAAAATAACAATAAACATTTTTATAATGTTAACCTTATAGAGGTGCGATTTCATAAAATGAAAAGAGGCAAGTTAGATTTTATGTCGGACAGACACTATAAATGTTGTATTGAGATTTTCCAAGTTTCATAAGTAGATGGAGACTTCATCTACACCATCCCCCGCACTGTTTATTATATCAGTCACGAACGGGAATTTTAATAGAACAACCACCCTTAAAACACTTAAAGTTAACTAGGGAACATCAAATTACATTGTAATTTCTTAACAGCTTATATCATATTTATCCCTTGAAGAAGGTTTTTTTTGTCAAATAATGTACAACAATACTGAAAATGAAGGAATGTATTTAACAACGTAATTTGTTTCCGCAAACCGTAACTTGTGCAGTAGTATACTTGTTTCATATTTTACAGAGTCTAAACAAAAGTGATTAAGAGGTGTTGGGAAATAAAAAAGTGAAAGCTTCATATCTTTCCAGTTTAAAGAATGTTACATATATAACTATAACAACAACAAAAGTTCCACCACCACCGCAAACAAAAACAACAATAACAAAGATATTTAGAAAAAAAACGCCGAGAGATTGATATGAGATATATAAAACAATTGATATTTTACATTTTGTTTAGATATATATTGTATCTAAACTTACTAACCTTTTCCCTCTGATAGTCCATATTGTAACGATGGTAACCAGCTAGGTCGGTCACTGAAGACTGCCGCCTTTTTTACAAACGCTTCACGAATTACGTCATATCCGTTTAGAAAAACAACAAGTTGAGTACCTGCATACACACTGAAAATATTTCCATATTTTTCACTCAAATCTGACAGAATAAGATGTCGTCTGCGTTTAAAGGCGCGAAAAAAGCCGACACTTCCGAGAATCGGTAAAGCCCATGGCCCTGGTGGAATAGTACGCGCACGGATACATTTGCATACAATCATCAAACAAAATCCTGCTATCAAGCAAACAGAAGTTGGCGATTGAAAGCATGATATAATGTAAAACATGCTAGGTATTCCGGTTACAGACATTTCAGTAAATATCGTTTTGATGTCTCTAAATGTGCTCAGGTATAATATTAATCGCAAATATAATCTCCTCTGAAGAATGTTAGAAAATTTGTTGTTGAATTTTGCTCTTAAGAGCAGGAAGAGATAACGCTGGGATACAAGAGGTGGGAAAGTTTATAGGATATCCGCGTCATTAGTTCTCTTTAAATCTGACGATAAACTAGTGTACATCCATTTATCTTTTTACATATAATGATAAGAAACCACATTCTTTTTGTTTATAACTATTGAACTCAAGTATATGACGTTAAAATTCAGAAGGAATTTATTTGAAATCACCACAAAACCGACCATTGTTTTCTTTTTGTTTCCTATTAAATATTGAAATTGTGGAAACTGTCATCAATAGTTTCTAAAGTGTTTGGTAAAACATAAACAATAGGAAAATGAAATTCACTTAAGTTTAAAAAAAAAAACTTCCATGACAACGATGTATGTCCTCACTGTCTAATAAAACAATATAATATATATGAATAATTTATATATCCATACATGTACATGTACCCAGAGACTGCAAAATCCACCAAAATCTGATCTGATTTTCTGATATGCAATCTACTGATGGTTAAAAGAAATAGTAAGCAATAATTAAGGGCGGAAATATAAAAAGAACGGACAGGCGAACGTGTAGAAGGACATAGCGGCGGTCTTGTTTGTTTTCTTCCGAGGAACATAACACATTATTTAAACTATTAATACAGAAAGACCCATTTAGCTCCAAGAATGGTATTAAATTTGTTTTTCATGAACTTTGTATTTCCTAATCCTAATTTCTAAATAACAACTCATTGACAATACAAATGAATCATCGTTTGTTTTTACTGCGTTTTATACAAATTAGTTCATTTACAGTGATTAAGTGTTTTGTATGGAAGTGAAGTTACTACTTTGTTTACATTTTGCTATACCTCTATAAAATTATTTTATCTTCAGGTGATATTCGTCAAACGTGTTTAAAATTCATTATTAAAACCTACATATAAGCCCTGTGTAAAGAAGAGAAACTATTTTGTTCTCATTTCTGGGCATTATTGTGCCTGTGGAAATACTTTCAACTGTTCTGAATCGAAATTATTTCCTGATTATTGATATGATATTCCTGAAAAGTTTTTTTTTAAATACAGACGTATCTTCGATGTTAGATGATATTCTCACAGACAACTCTACAATAGAGTTTTCACGGGGGAGCAACTGTTACACGAAGGATGGAGTTCTTATGCTAACTTGTCAGAAGTTTTTTGTGATAACTGTCGAAAAACGAAAAAAAAAATATTTTGGAAATTTTACACAAAACTACCAGATTCTAAGCAAGGGACGATGAAAAATCATGAGAACTTCATCCCTCGTGTAACAGTTCCTTTACCCCCGTGGTTTTGCATTGAGGATTAAATTTTGTAAAAATATTTTATTTTTAATATAAATTGCAATATAATAATTATGTGGTATTTAAACTGTAGAAATAAAGATGAAGGTTAAATTAAGATATCATGACAGCGATCGATTGAAGAGAATCATATCGTCACCCTAGTGCAGTAACGGTTTAACTCCTACTTAAATCATATTAGGAGTTAACCCATTACTGCATCATGATGACGAATTATTCATGTATTTTTTTTTGTAAAGAAAAATAAAATGATTCAGAAATAGTTGATGCTATTTAACTAGTTTTCCTTAACCCTCTACAATCATGCCCTAAAGTAAACTGAATTTTAAACTTTGTGAAACGCTCTAGTTGCGCACGTGTATCTAGCGAACTGTGCTAATTTAAACGGTCGTGACGAAATTCGTGTGTTTATTTGTAATAGTAATTCATCAAAAGGTTAAAACATAGGACGGTCATGATGAAATAACAAATATGTCACTTTTGATGATGTGTCTGTCATCGAGAGTTGTTATTATTATTGCATTATATGCGGATATGAAAGGTTAAAACATAGGACGATTTATCTTTGCTATATATAAGACTCAAATATTGATCTTACTAAATGTATTACAGAGATATATCTTTAACTTTAACGATATCGTCTATTCCGACAAGACAGTTTCATAAATTTTTTTTTGTACCCCGAAAAAAGAGAGGAAAAAAAATTAGATTGGAAATAAACGACAAATTTGGGGAAAATTTTTTCTACCCATGTTGACAAACCTCTGTAATTCTTCGTGTTTTTAGCAGTTTTTTTTGCTGTTTTAATGATAAATAAAAGGATTTAAATTTTCACCAGGACCCTTTTAAGTTTTCCCCATTAAAAGGGGAAATTTTGGTGGGTATTTTACCCGCAGTCAAAGAAAAAGAGACTTCCGGTGGCTTTATGCGATGCCTCAAAGAGGTATGGGGAAATAATGCATATAACTCTGGGTCCGGAAAATATTATTTTTATTCACGGACACGATGCCATTCACGAAGCTTTTGTCACTAATGCAGACAAGTTCAGCTCTAGACCAAGTCGTTTGATGAAAACTGTAGAGCAGGAAGGCGCCGGTGTGGTAATGCAGAGTGGAAAACCTTGGAAAGTATTAAGAAAATTTACTCTGCAATCACTCAAAGACTTTGGAGTAGGGAAATCAAGTCTTGAAGAGAAAATTGTGGTTGAAATAGAGGCTGCAACTGTAGTTCTTAACGAAACTAAAGGAAATCCTATTGACGTGCGTTTGTTGACTTCAATGATAATTACAAATGTTATTTACGGAATTGTCTTTGGCAAAAGGTAAGCCAATATTGAAAGAAAATTAAGTTTTAATTGTAAGTAAGAGCTATTTATTAATAAGTACATAAGACCGTCAATATATTTATATTTGGATAATATTTTTTAAATGTGAATTAACTTGTTGTTCTTAGAGTGATTTATGTATATAACATTACATTCTTTAAAATAGGTCTATTAAATCATTTACAATAAAGAAATTGATTGTAACCTTTCTAATACCATGTACATGTACTATATTTTACTGTAGAGGACACACTATGATGTGTATATAATTGTAATTTGATATAAAGTAAATTTCATATTTTCACAATTATATTTAACAATTTTGTGTACACTTAAACCAAGTCTTTTACTTTTAATGATTGATGTACGACAGTGTACACATTTAAATCTGATATAAAAAATACTAAATTATTGTACATACTTGGCTGCGAGAACTGGCCTGTTATCTGTCGTATGTAATTTTTGTGCCGCCTCTACGGAGTAGTGGCGACATATAGGGATCACTTCTCCGTCGTCTGTCTGTCTGTCTGTCTGTCCGCACTCACAGGAGAGTAATTGTGTGGCTAGAGGGACAATAGGTAACTGTGCTTTCTCTTTGATGTCATTCATTCCGTAATGCTTTTATGTGGCTATTTTCTTTTGTGTGGCTAAAAAGAACAATAGAGAGAACAATAGAGTAGCCACATAATTACTGTCCTGTGAGAACTTCCGTCTGTCCGTCTGTCCGTCACAAAACTTGTCCGGACTAATCCTCATAAACTACTGGTGCAATTTCATCCAAACTTTACAGGAATGATCAGTAACAAGTCTAGTTGTGCATATTATCAGCATTTTCCGGTTCAATGATTTTTGTCAGAGTTATGGCCCTTTAATTATTTTTATTTTTAAAGTTTGTCCGGAGTACTTCTCTTATACCTCTAATGCAATTTCAATGAAACTTTACAGGATTGATCTGTAGCTCAAGTCATTGCGCATATTGCACGGGTTTTCCGGTTGAATGATTTTTGGCTAAGTTATGGCCCTTTGATAAAAAGGTGTTTTTTCTGTGTATTGCCAGATACACAAAAGCTTGTCCGGACTACTCCTCAAAAACTACTGGTGCAATTTCATCCAAACTTTACAGGAATGATCAGTACCAAGTCTAGTTGTGCATATTGTCAGTATTTCTCGGTTCAATGATTTTTGTCAGAGTTATGGCCCTTTAATAATTTTTATTTTTAAAGTTTGTCCGGACTACTTCTCTTATACCACTTATGCAATTTCAATGAAACTTTACAGGATTGATCTGTAGCTCAAGTCCTTGCGCATATTGCACGCGTTTTTTGGTTGAATGATTTTTGGCCGAGTTATGACCCTTTGATAAAAAGGTGTTTTTTTCTGTGTGTTGCCAGATACACAAAAGCTTGTCCGGACTACGCCTCATAAACTACTGGTGCAATTTTATCCAAACTTTACAGGAATGATCAGTACCAAGTCTAGTTGTGCACTGTCCGTCTGTCTGTCTGTCTGTCACAAAACTTGTTCCAACATAAAATTGGCCATCATGAGGCGACACATGTGATTACTGATCGCTCTTCCAAAATTCATATACAAAATATTACAGAATAAAGAGGTAAATTGGCTTTATAATTATATTCCAATCACCGAGATTGCAATTTAATTTTCATGCAATTTTGTTGACTTCACTGCTTCCGAAAGATTTCCCTATATCCAAATTTTCTATAACACTAGCCCTACATAATTTGAACGCTGTATTATAGTGTATACAAACATATATCAAGTTGCAAAATCAACAAAACAATAAAAAAAAGTAGTCAGTGGTATTATTTTGTGATATACATATGATAAACATATTCTTAAGATCACATTCTTACTTTTCATCTAGGTCACATTATTCTTCTTTGTTAATATGAAAATTAATTTGTGCTCAATATATACTGTTTCAGAAAGAAGAAGGAAAAGAGAGAAATACGAAAGCTGTTAACTGGATTAGAGGACATGTAATGAAAGAAATAGAAGATCATGAGAAGACGTTTGATGGGGATAATATCAGAGATTTCGTTGACCTTTTTATTCAAGCTAAGCATGGGGAGTCTGAAAATAGTTTGTTTACATGTAAGAACTGTTTAAAGATTATTTGTTTGTATATTTGAATAGTAAAATGGGTTGAAAATAGCATATTTCCATAAATAGTCAAAGCATATTGCAATGTTTCCACTTTATAGTATCCTTTTCCCATGTCACACAATTTTAGCTCTTACCCAACTGGCGGCAACCGATCAAACCAAGATCAGCCAGCACAAGCGTGCAATCTACGCCAGAGCGTTTTCTCTAAGAACAGGAAAGCGCGAAACATGACAGTACGGCGGTGCCATTACGACAGTACGATGGTGACAGTACGGCAGTTCGATGGTGACAATACGACTCAATCGTACTGTCGCCCTGCAACCATCGTACTGTTTGAAATGAATATGTTCAGAATGAACAATTGTCATGAGCTTTTAAGATATATAGCTTGGTAAATGAAAAATCGAGAGATTAACCTGTGATATATATGACATATACCTGTATTTATTTGGCATCCATACATAATTGTGCTATATTCATATATTTCAGTGGACAATTTATTCTATGTCATTTTGGATCTGTTCATAGCTGGGTCTGAGACTACGTCTAACACTCTTAACTGGTCACTTCTTTTCATGCAAGAATATCCAGATGTTCAAATGAAATGCCAACAGGAAATAGAAGAGGTACGTCGATATAATCAATAGTGAAACGGACATTTAACTTATACCAGTTTGATTGCCGAACTAAGATATTTTAAAGATTTAAAAATCCATCTTTTGTAAGATAAATCAATCAAAGAAATAATTTCACTAAATGAATAAATTAATGAAGACAAAGCGTATAAAGATGGGATTATCTAAGTGTAATTTATTATCAATCAAAATTAAAGTGTATAGAGCTATAAGACTGGTGCTAAAATAGGTTTTAAATTTTGAAAAAAGGATACACCCAAAATATCTGTATGAAAGAAATAGGTTTGTATATTCTCTTCACAGCGTGTGGCAAAGCACGGAATCATAGCTAAACGTAAAAGTTAAAACCTTACTTAATATAAGATACCATATTTTGTTTGGGAACATTTATTATTCTTCCAAGTTTAATTTATATTATATTCATGTATACTAAATAACAGAGACATTATATGCTAAAACGTTTTCGAGAATCAACCATACATGGAAACAACATTATGTATGTGTTTGAAAAATTTATGAAAAAATATGATGCAGCTTTATACCCTTTAAATGATCCGCGTCACGACAAAACCAACATAATGGGTTTGCGACCAACATGGATCCAGACCAGCCTGCGCGGTCCGCGCAGTCTGATCAGGATCCATGCTGTTCGCTTACAGACCCTATAACAAGTAAAGAAACTGATAGCTAACAGCATGGATCCTGATCAGACTGTGCGGATGCGCAGGCTGGTCTGGATCCATGCTGGTCGCAAACGTACTATGTTGGTTTTGTCGTGACACGGCTCAAATATACTTGGATTAAAACACATTGACAAAGGCGATAACATTATTCACCTGTTTAATTCTTACCAATCACCTGCTGGACTTGTATAAAAGACTGGTCCAGTTTTTGATCTGGAACAGTCCATTTCAAGTTTGAATGATTTGATATCAGTATTGAAATAAAATACACAAAATTAGTTACCATCAGCATAGAACCTAGCTAGACTGCATAAATCTGCGCATGCGCATTTTCTAGACTCAATGGCAAAATTGTTCCTATGTTAAATATATCATGAAAAATTTATATTGTAGAAATATGGAGGAAGATCGGTGACGTGGGCAGACAGAGGTACTCTCCCCTTTGTGGATGCGACGTTAATGGAGATACAGAGATTGTCAAATATCGGTTAGCTGCTCATTTTATTATTTTGTCATGTCATATTTAATCATTTTGATATGTACAATGTTTGCTCATAAAGAAATATATAATAACATTTAAAGTTTATCGCAAAAATAATTTCAATTTGCATATATTGTAATAACTAATTTCTAAAAGTGTACTAAAATAAATAAAAAAAAAAGAATTTCATACCATATATAGGTGATGATTGAAAAGCTGTTTGCCTAAACCGCTTTTAACACACTCCATACGATTTGTTGTTTTTATGGTTGTTGTTATTTTTGTTATTTTTATTACGTTGTTGTTGCTTTTGTTTACAAAATGTAGCACAAAGTCATAGGTTCTAAGTATGATTGCCTTACTATTTCAGCTGAAATGTCTATCCCGCACACAAACGAGAACGAGGCAATATTAAGAGGTTTTCGTATTCCAAAAGATTCAATCATACAGGCTAATATCTATTCTTCACACATGGACCCATTATACTGGGATGAGCCCAGGCAGTTTAATCCGGAGAGATTTTTACAGGACGGAAAGATTAAGAAGAATAAAGCGTTCATGCCATTCAGTATAGGTAAATATCTTGTCAGCATTAAAATCAGCAAAATTACATGAAGATCGCAGACTAGGTTTGATCACGGATTTATATATGTAATATAAATCCATGGTTTGATGAGAGATAATGGAAAGGTCTCAGAACATAATAACAATTATAAAATTATATTAACTGTTAATAACAGTGATTATCTTCTTTTGAACATTGCCTCTTTTTGTATTGAAAGTGTTGAATGTCATAAAATGTAAGATTTTATGTTGATAAAGATAAAAAATATATATAGTAGCAATGTCTTTTTTTCTTTAAATTGTTGATCAATTTTCATTAAACAAGTTAGTATGACAGACGGGTGGCATAAATATGTAGCCAAGCAGCTTACAGATAACAGTAATCTGTTTTTCAGATTTGTTTAAATACAAAACTATCTAAAGTTAACAGCATACAGCTCTTAGCTATCTAAGGTTCATTCAGTCAGATAAAAGTAAATGCTTATCTTCAATGTTATTGGAATCTTGTTTTCCAGGTCCTCGGATGTGCCTTGGAGAAAATTTGGCAAAGATGGAGATTTTTCTGATATTTACAAATTTTCTACAAAGATTCACGTTTAAAAGAGAGAACGATGACATCCGCCATTCTTTTGACTGTATTTTTGAACAGCTGACATCAGCACCACTACCTTACAAAACAAGGCCGATAAGCCGGGTATAAGATGGTCAGACAGAAGTCATGTTGTCAATTGTGTAAAATGTCGTATCTTATTTTTAGTGTAATTATTTTGTTCTGTCCATGTTGTATCACTTATTGCTGGATATTTGAATCTGCTTAAAGTAGTGCCAGCGGGAATGAGACATGTCGACTCATTACATTTATATATATGTATGTATTTTATATTCAATTCTCATTAAAAACATCGTTCATTTAAATGTTTACAAATGTCTATAGACTGCAAATTTTCCATGACAAATCAATCTTCTGGTGTAAAAGTTACATAATAAATGAATCACGCACACTATGTCTTGTTCTGTTGAACTCTATTTCATCTCATCTCGTGCAGCTTTGGCTCCATATTAACGAAGAATTAAGGATCAGAATCAAGATCAGGATCAAAGTTCAAAATTAAAAAATTCTCTAGTGTATATTCCCATAGCTTCAATTTTCCTTTACTTACCTTATCGAAGCGCTAACAACGACAGTGTGGATTTGGTTGCACATCTTTGCAGTTTTACACACTGAGCTCTTAACATTGTCCATAATGGTTTTGAATTTTATTTTCAAAGTTCCTAGTTACTTAAGCAGTTGTTGAAATTTGAAGTTGGAAAAATGTTGGTAGTAAAATAAATTTACAAATTCGTAGCATGACTTTTATTTATTAATGGTGAATATTGACATACAGAAAACGGAACCTCTAAAGAATGCCCAAAACGACAAAAAAATAAAATGTTGCAGCGAGCCTGTTCAATGATGGTACTGGAAAGTGCACGTTACCGTTCACGCCCCCCCCCCCAGCACCGGCTTAATAGAATTAAACATTTAAATACGAAAATGGTGAAAGTTAGAATTCACGTGTTCATTGGGCGGTTATCATGGAACCTTCAAAGCGACACTTTCATGCCATTTCATGAAAGTCGGCGTGTGGCCCCCAAGTAAAAGAAAGTGTGTGCTCCGAAGGAAAAAAACAATGGGCGGAACTAAATAAAATGGAATTTTGAAAAGGGATCAGAGGTTATAAAGCCTGCTAGAGAGTCTAATTCTTGTGCAAAGTGGTTTATTTTATCATTGCTTGAAATCAAAAATAAGTATAGGGTTAATATCAATGTTGGGTGCCAAAAACAAGAGTATGTACATGCAGTATCGATATCATAAGAATTGGTGCTCAAAATGATCGCTCAATTAATAGTTTCTAACGGTACACACGTTGTGTCAATTATTGTATTACCACAGGTAGGGAATTTAAAATTTGCAGCAGCGCGGTATACCTCTGTCTCTCTACGGTGGCACAGAGGTGACATGTGAATGTTTTTATTCATCTCGTCCGCCCGACATAGTATCTCGTCCGCCCGACATAGTATCTCGGGCGCACGAGATAAATAAAAGCATACACATGTCACCTCTGTGCAGTGATTTAATTTAATTTAATTAAGCCGTGCGCACGAGTTATTTGTCGTGCGCACGAATTACTATGTCGTATAATACATTTATAAAAATTCAAGTGAATACTTTCATTTGATTTGAAGACAGCTGTTGCAAGTAAAATTTAATTCAAATATCTTAGTTAACTAGAAATATGCCATAGGTCAATGATGCCCCTCCTTCACCTGCCTGTCACAGTGGCCTATATACACACTTATGCTTTTAGGAAGTTTCACTGTCACATTGACTTTTGACCTTACAACCTCAAAATCAGTAGATATCATATCATCTACTTACCATGAGCAATATTCCTACCAAGTAACATTAATGGCTTATTTAATCTTGGGTTAATGATTTGACAAGAATTTCACATCATGTGTCTCTGTGGCTTTGCCCTTTGACCTGATGACATCCAAAATCAATAGAAATTTTCTACTGGTCACTGAGGGACTAAGGGCAATGTATTAAGTAACAATACCAATGGCTTATTCCTTCTTAAGTTATTGACTGGACAAGGGGTTTACATTAAGCGTCGCTGTGACCTTGATCTTTGTCCCAATTACCTCAAAATCATTAGGTGTCATCTACTGATTAGGAGCAATGTCCCTACAAGATAAAATAAACAAGGGCTTATTCTTTCTCGAGTCATCGCATAAACAATGATAACAGACAACAGTATGCTCCCCACTTTTTAAGTGGGGCATATAAAAGGGCCATAGCTCAAAAGAAATGGCTGTCATACGTGACCTCCTGATATGATCCTAACCCTGTATCAATATTCACTTGAATACATTCAGTTATTTTAAAGATTAATATTGAATGTTAATCTTAACCAGGAACTTTCTAAGTTTAAAACATTAATGTATTTAAAGTGTAATCTAATTAGTTTATAATGTTTTGCGCACGGCTTAATTATATCGGTCGCACGGCCTAATTATTTCGTGCCCATGACTTACGAGGGATGTTCAAATATGAATGCAACTAGGTCAATATCTTGTTTTTAACCACGTTTTACACGAACTATGTACATGTATCGCATTTGATTCAATTGATAAATACAGGAGTCGCTCGATTAACGTTATCTACTCGTGTAAACTAAAGTTAAAAATGGTTGGAAAAGGTCTCCTTTCACTGACCAAATACGGTCCTATATAAAGAAAAACCCGCTGTATTCTTAGTATACAGGCGAAATAATATTTAATGAAATATTGCGTGTGAACTTTCTTTTTTCATCTGTCACACAGTGGTGTAAGAAATTTAAAAGTGGTGTGGATTCAGTAAACGATGCACATCATGCACGCCATCCAAAAACTGCAACTTCGCCAAAAAATGTTTGAAAAGTAAAGGATTTGATTGCTACTGAACTAGGTATACAGCTAAATGCATTGGTATCTCTGTAGGGGTCGCTCATAACATTCTCAGACGTGATTTAAAAATGAGAAGGATAACTGCAAGATGGATACTCCATCTCCTTACAAAAGAGGAAAAACCTTTCTCGGGTAAGAATCTCCAAACAATTGTTGAAACAGCTCCCTAAATACAACAATCGATTTTTCGCAAATATCATCACTGGCGATGAGACGTGGGTTCAGTTTTATTAAGCGAAAGAAACATAACAAAATATGGGCAACCAAAGAAAGTCAAGGACCTTGCATAGAAAAACGCACCACGAACGTCATAAAGGTCATGTTTGTAATTTTCTTTACCAATCAAGGTCTTGCTATTCAAATTGCCGTACCAAAGGATAAATCGGTAAATACTAAGTTTTACAAAGGCAATGTCCTTCAGAAATTTTCAAAAACCGTCGACCAGCAACTGGTCTCCGTGGTGTCAGGTTGTTGCATGAATGCTTCGTCACACAAAGAGGCCATTGTACCAAAATATCTGAAACAGGAAAAGGTTGTCGAGCTTCCCCACTCTTCTTATTCGCCAGATCTTGCCCCTTGTGATTTTTTTTCTATTTCTGAGGCTCAAAAATACATTGCTGGAAGAAAATAACAAACGTGAAAAAATCTCATTTCGGCTATTTTCCAGTGTCTGAACAGTATACCTCGAAAAGATTATTAAAACGCATTTTAAAATTAGATTAAAAGGTTTAAACTTTGTATATCTCATGATGGTGACTATTTTGAAGGATTGAGATAATTATTTTGGCATTGTTTGTTAAGCACTTCTGAAAATTAACTCAATTGAATTCATACTTGAACACCCCTTGGAGTATCCGTTACGCAAGACATAGTGCGCAATACTAAATTATCTCGTGCCCACGACATAGTATCTCATGCGCACAACATAGTATCTCGTGCACACGACTTATTTATCTCGTGTACACGAGATACTATGTCGTGCGCACGAGATAAATAAAAAAAACACACATGCATGTTACCTCTGTGCTATCGTATCTCACTTTGTAAATACAACTACTGAAAATATCGAAGAAAGGCCAAATAGAATTCAAAGACAACCGCATTGATTATGTACAGAATGACAAAAGCGTATGTTCTTTATTGAAAATTGCATGTTTAAATGATCATTGGTTGCGCGTATGGATAATAGGAATATGTAATTAGAACTGTGCTATTTTTACTTCATACGTAAGTCATACCGGTAGAAACGTTATATTTTCAAAACCGAGACATACATTATTATATCATTAGGTACGTAAATTTTATTTGATTTTGTCTCGATTTTACCTTTGATAAAATAAGATCTTTTTCGTATACTTCAGTCGTACTTTCATTTAATTATGTGTATTTAACAACTGAAAATATTTCCAGAATATTCAAGTATGGATGACAGTAAAAAGGGAAACGAAAGTGAAAAGATCTTAGATGTCCCTATGTCCAGTTTAGTAGCGAGTTACTCTCCGCCGAAAAAGATACCCCTTCCAACGGAAAGACCGAGACCGAACCCACAACCTCAAGCTCCTCCGCCTCGAGATCATCTCGCAGGGCTTGAAACAGGTTCTGACAATACATACATTGCGTAAACAACTTCCGGTTTAAATATCAACCGACTCTGTTACAATTCTTTGTGAATATACATTTAATACATCAAATATAAAGGCATTTTGGATATATACAAGACTTTATAAATGAGAAAAGATCATCAAGACTGTGTGTTTCTTTAATCAGCATCGGATTTGTTACAACAAAGAAATTGAGAAGTGAAAACAAGCTATATAAAATATTTTAATTATGTAATTGAAGACATAACGCTTAACAAAAATGACATACACAAAAAGACTATTATCTTTCAACATTTCAACAATTTTCTTCTGTAGGTGGTTTAAGTAGAGTGTATCTTTGAATTTACAATTCGTTAATTCTTACATATACTTGTCATGAATATGACAAACTTTGAAAGATAAAACAAATTCATTCTCACATAAATTGCCAAGTTTTAGTTTTTTCTATATTCCTGTGTCGCCCATATTAGACCATTTGGATTAAAATTTTGATTTTGATTTAATATGCATTATATATACATGTATACTATATATCTGCCTCAATGTATATGATTCCTGTTTTCAGTGAATAACAACCATTGTGACTAATATATTGTTGTTGAAGAATCAGAAAGTCTCCTTCCTGAGCAATGGAGCTAATGTTTCTTCTTTTCGGGAAGTGTTCCGAATTTTGTTTACCCCGCTGGAACCTACATACTTGTTTCGGGAGATGTGTACAGTCTATATTAAGTGAGATTCCATCGCTAATGCAGCTTTCGCTGTCAAATACGTTCGCCCGGACATGTCACGTGTTAATTTTGTGTGAAAATTTACCGCCATATAATTTATATATATATATATATAAACTTTGAGCTTTTAAGTCGATGGAAGGTGATTGCACAACGGTCATTATATTTGACAATTTCGAAGTTTTTTTTCATTGATATATGAGCCGCGACATGACATAACCAACATAGTGCGTTTGCGACCAGCATGGATCCCGGCCACAAACTTACAAACTCTATAACAAGTAGAGGAACTGATAGCGAACATCATGGATCCTGATCAGACTGCGCAGATGCGCAGGCTGGTCTGGATCCATGCTGGTCGCAAATCCATTATGTTGGTTTTGTCATGGTGCGGCTCATATATGTATTATAAAACTTTTTGTAATGATTTCTCTATAAAATCACAACTCAAATTAGAAATATATTATATACTGTTATGTTTCATTTACAACTTCTTTATAGTGTAACTTGGGAGTGATTCATATCTTGATTGCACAGCAGACGACATGCAATTAAAAAAGTCTACTATTGTAATGTTATCATTATAATCCCCGATTTATACAGAGTGATACAAGATAATATTTTGTTACGAAGTTTCCGTCAATCAAATTACACTGATTTATCATTTTTATCATAATGCATTTATAACAAAATAAAAAGCTTATTCAGTGATACACACCCCCTAATACACGCGTTTAAGGAAACTTGAGTTAATTCATATATAAATAAATCAGAAGCTATTTTACTTTTACGAAAGCAAATACATAAAAATAAGAAAATACATAAAAGAATAACAAAGATCTAGATACAATACAAAGATGATATAATATTTGTAAGAATTTTGTATCTTGCTGTAGGAGTTGTCTTCCCTGCTTTCACATAAATTAATTGTATACATAATACATTGTACAAGCATCTTGCAATGATTTTAAAATTTAGTTTCATACTTTTCTCGACATATTATGATTTCCATAAGGTCAACATTTCTATCTGGTGAATCTCTATATTTATCATGTTTTGATATTTTACAATCCTACATTCGTGCTTATAGTGACTTTTAGTCACTATAGGTCTGGCTAGAAATATTAATGTTTGTTTTTACATAATTAAAATCTAGTTGTATATAGCCCCATTACATAATCATATCTAAATATTCTCGTTATCTTCTTGTACCTAATCGTCAGACATTTCTATTTTGATACACTTGTAATAAAATTACTTTATTGAATATTCAATTAAAAAGATCTCTTAGAATATATAATAGTTTTATTACAATTCCCGTCTTTATCAAGATATGTTTTACAGGCTATAACCGTTTGTTACATGTCCAAATACCGACATCGCATTCTCCTTTGAAGTAGACAATATTCTTGATAATTAGATAATTATGTGTAAATAGCGTTACTTTTCACACCGATCAAGATAAAAAGTAATATATATAAAGACGAAATTTTGTCAAGAAACCATAGTTATTCTTTAATTATAAAATATAGACTAAACATTCTTTGCTAGCTTTATTTTGCCAACTTGACAGAATTCTAAAACGTATTTGAAGGTAAGCTTAACTTATTTTTCTCTCTTTATTATGCATTCCGCGAAAAATCTTTCATATATTTTTCCCTTCCGTTTATTTAGCATAACTTAAGTATTTCATCCAGACAATTCTTGTATATATTACCTCTTTAGCATATCCAGGATACACTTACATACGAAATATGTAAATTTTAAAGTGAATTAAAAGGTGAATCCTTCCGCTCACAAGATGTTATTGCAAGTGAAACCTGATAATCTTGAATGATTCTTTAATTTTGAATTATGGCTTATACTTATTTTTTTCAAGTTTTATGAAAAGAAATAACAATGGATTTAAAATACAATTTCAGTATATATATTTTAGAGAGATCTTATGTGAAATAACTTTTACAAAGCTTATTAGTCATTTGTATAAAAATATATATCAGCAGAAATATATATGTACTTATAATGTTTGTCATTTCAGGTTTTAAAAATATGGCATTTTTATCATTAACCACAGTTCTAGTTGTCTTAGTTTCCATGGATACACAATCATTCGCTATGCACATCGATGTCGAATTTGGCAACTTTGAAGGTAACTTTTTCACCTTATTTAAAGCCACCTATCATAAATCTTTACCTATTCCTTCAAAATCCAATTCTTAAATTGAGATAGTATTAAAAGTTTATTAAGATGTTCAAAAATCAAATTTATAAATGAAGATACAGTGTAGTATTGTAAATCTATTAAGTCGAAGCTCATAGAAAACATTCTAAGACAGACCGCTGAAATAAAATATGTGTAATTCGTTTTATTTAATTAACATATGGTTAATTTTGACAACATGAATCATTATATTTTTCAGCATTGACTTGCTACACTTGCCCAGATAAACACAACAACAAACAATGCAACAAGTGGGCTCCTGATATCCCTTGTCCATTTAGTAAGTGTACAAGTTTTCAAAAAAGTAAAAAAGACATAAAAATCAACAGCTAAAACAAAAGCCAAAAAAAAAAAAAAGAGAGAAAAATAAACAAGAAAGAGAAGATTGATGATAACCATAGGCACATGTTTCGCGGGTTGAGACCCTGTCAAATTTATCTGAATATAACGATTTTAATGTTAAGTATATACGTTCTTTTAATACCCCCATTTTTTACGTGTAAGAATGGTCCAAGTGCCTATGATACTAACATACCAAACAGTTAATCTGCAGCCTGTCCTGCCACACAGATTCTGTTGTTTCTCAATTTTAGTATCTTGATAATGCTTGTTAATTATCATAACTAGTGGATTTGTTTTAAAGTCTATCATACAAACCAGCCGTTGAAGGAACGGACATTTTTTTAAATTCAACCACGGATTTATATTACTAATATAAATCCGTGATTCAACTAATTAGCTATAGACTGATCTAATTAAAGTAAACGACATCAATAACTTATAACATTTACTTTGTAGGACACACAGTATGCACGACTGTACATCGTTTCAACAACAGCACAGGACAAAGCTTACAGGTGGACAAAATGTGTGCCATGCCAGAACATTGTACCAGTGATGACGTGGGTTGCAGGGCTACCGACATAGAAGGAGAAATCGTAAGTTTAAATTATATTGAATTCTAGTTTAATTATAAACTAAACAATAAGAATTGATCAAATTATAGGCGGAACTTAATGTAAGACTTTTTATGAACTCTGTGTTATTATAAGAACTCTTGTCATTATTGTATTGTATTGTATATATGCCATGATCACAATATGCCATGACTCTATTATGTCAGTTCGTGAATAAATATATCATCAGCAATTTGAATAAGAAAAAATAATAATAACAATATCAATCATTTTAATAAATTTGAACATAACTAGTTGAGACGAAGCAATGCATTTTGCTGAAATTTGCTGATCTTGTGAGTAAACATGTTTATATTTTATGTATCTAAATATAGAGAATACTATCCTAGTGTCTGATATTACAAAGTTTTTCAGACAAGGCTAAAAAGAGCGAATCTCTGCAGAGTCCTTCATTTTTTTTCGTGCCGAGTCTGATAAATTTTATTTTATCAGACACTTGTTTGGTATTTTATTCATCATGTTTGCATTTTTCACAAGCGTTTCTTCCTTTAAATTTCAAACGTGTTCATGCCGCGCGCAGTGAAATGCGAAGGATAATATTTTTAAGAAATAGTTTCTAATGTGTTTGTCAAATATAAGAGAGATTTTAAAATCCAACACTGTATTTGATTCAAAGTTTAATATTTTCAAACTAGTTGGAGATAAGATATTCCATTCTCTTCATTTTATTTCAATATGCATTGATGAGGTATCTGATAAAGCTGAAGGTGACTGATAAAACTGTATTTATCAAGCATGGACTTTATCAACAGAAATCATTGTAATGATATGATAAAAAATAATATTTTATTAAATCTTTTATTTACAGGAATGCATTTCCTGCTGTACAGTATCCTATTGTAACGTCGCCGTACCGTATAACGTTACTACGTCACAGACGCTATCCATTTCTCAGACTGGTTCAACAGGAAGTCACGTGTCGATTATAGACTGGTTAATGCTTGTTGCTACATTTTCGTTGACAACTTTAGGCAACATCTGAA